GTTCTAGCCTATTTCAATCCAACCTAAGCATCCCATTCACACCCAGAGGTTCCCAGGAACACGTAACACCCTTTTAATCAAGCAATCACACGCCAAAACCACCATCCATGATCATCACTGTTTGGTAAACTTCTGGAAATTTAATCTTTCTTTTTTCTCATTGTTGAATGTTTTAATGCTTTGATTATTACTCAGGACCTTCATTAGGACTGGTTGGACGCTTTGCATTAGAGTATCAAGGCTTAAATCACGTGATGCCATTGTTAGGACATCACGAACTGAAGCTTGCAAAACTTTTAATCTAAGGACCTTCAGGCCAAACTAACCCCATATTTAGATTCCTGGGAAAATTTCAGGGAGAGTAGGGTTTTTTGCACCCTTTAAATTCCATATTTTTGCAGGTTTTGGGATTTTCACCCTCCCGGAGAAGACGACCGGAGTGCAGCTCCGGCGTCGTTGATTCGTCTCCCTCTGGCGAAGACATTCTGACTGCAGGCGTGGCATTTTTTTATAATGTGATTGGTTCTGGAAATGCTAACGCGTTTATGTCTTGCTGACTGGGATCTAATGGCTTGTTTGATATATATTATTTTTATTTGATTATATGTATGAGTTAACATCCAGCGCAGTTGGCCAGAGGAAGGAAGTCAGAAGCTCATGTCCTGGGTTCGATCCCAGGCGTGAGCTTTTGGCATTTTCTCCATTATTTTCACCAGATCCAACACACCTCATCTTCTGAGGATCATCAAGCGCCCTTTGATCTCATCCTATGGATTCATCTCCAGCCAGATCCAACACACCTCACCTTCTGAGGATTATCAAGCACCCTCTGATCTCATCCTCTGGATCCATCTCCAGCCATCTCCAGCACCCCTCACCTTCTGAGGATCGTCAAGCGCCCTCTGATCTCATACTCTGGATCCATCTCCATCCAGATCCAACGCCAGCATACGCAGGTCCACCATGAGTCTCCAGAAGATGGTCTCATTGGATCAGGCGCCAGACTCTGGGCCATCCTTCTGGGTTTCAGAAGTTCAACACCCCTCATAATTGCCTAAACAGGCCCCTTTCTCATCTTTTAATTTTAATTCTTTTTTTAATTATTTTCTAATTATTCTTTTTTTTTTAAATAAAAAATAACACATAAATCATTTTTTTATTAAATCAAAAATCACAAAAAAACACCAAAAATATTTTTCATAAAAAAATAAATATATTTTGTTTCCTTGAATTAATTAATTTAATTAAATTAGGGCAATTAAATCTTATTTTTGTAATTAAAATTAATTAGAAATTAGGGTTTACTTTTGTATGATAATTAATTTCTTCTTCAAAAATAACTTAAATATTTTCTCAAATTAGATTTTTTAGGTTTTATAATTGTCCTCACATTCAATTTGTCGCACGTATTTTAATTACGTTTTATTATTATTGTAATTGCTCAGAGGTTGTAATAGACCTAATTAGGTTTTAATTCCGAATTTTATTTTCAGTCAAAAATAATTTTGTATCTGCGAAAGCCATGTAATAGCTAGGTTTATTTCCGCTTTTACTTTCCGCAAATTATTAACTGTCTAGATGTATGGTTAATAGGATTGTATGGCAAGAATGCATGAAAAATTAAAACAGTTAGAAAACCCTAATGTGCAAAGATTAAATAACTGAAACAAATCACTCGCACATGTTCACTCATAGGGTTTACCTCACTTCGGATGCCTTCGGTAAACAGTCATTAAGCATAGGAAATTTTAGTGGTCGCCCTCATGTCTAAAAGATCAAGTGTCCCATTCGAATGTTGCCTTGGAAACGTTGCCTTGGAAAGATCGTAAGACTCTAGGGTTACTACTAAAGTTTTCTAACTATTGCTTTAGTGATTGTATTTTCCCCTTTCTAATGTCCCTTACGAACTCCAACGACGGTGCTACCTACTCCTTAATAGTGGGATAGCGCTGTTTAAAGGAAATAGAACAAAAACAATCTTCTTTCGAGTAGGTAGATGCTAGTAGGTACTTGCTCAATTAATTTTTTTCACACAAACACCTTTCAAAAACAGTTTTCAAAATAACTTCGTCACACCCTTGAGGACTGATACAAGGGTTATCACGAAGTAAAATATTTTCAAAGCAAGCACACACACAAGTAATTTTAAAAATATGAGCAAGTACCTAAGAGCTCGTAGATAACTACGGATAGAAAGGGTGCTAACACCTTCCCTTTCTATAATCTACCCCCCGTACTCAGAATATCTCGAAAAAAGGTTTTTTTTGTTCTTTTTCCTTTTCCATGATTGGATGAAATAAAAGTCGATGGTGAATCTTGCTTACCGCGACATTTTGCAAACAAAAAATGCAAGATGCAAACCAGTATTAAAAAGTCGGTTCTGCCACTGTATCACACAGTCATTAAGCATAGGAAATTTTAGTGGCGCCCTCCTGTCTAAAAGATCAAATGTCCCATTCGAATGTTGCCTCGGAAATGTTGCCTCGGAAATGTTGCCTCGAAAAGATCTTAAGACTCTAGGGTTACTACTAAAGTTTTCTAACTATTACTTTAGTGATTGTATTCGTCCTATTCGAACATCCCTTATAACTCCAAAGACGGCGCTACCTACTCCTTAATAGTGGGATAAAGCTGTCTAAAAGAAATAGAATGAGTAATCCTTTTTTCGAGTAGGTAGAATCTTAAGTACTTGCTCAATAAAAAACTTTTCACACAAACACCTTTCAAAACAGTTTTCAAAAACAAATTCGTTACATCCTTGAGGAATGATACAAGGGTTATCACGAAGTAAAACATTTTCAAAGCAAGCACACACACAAGCAATTTTAAAAAGATGAGCAAGTACCTAAGAGCCTGTGGAAAACCACAGATAGAAAGGGTGCTAACACCTTCCCTTTCTATAATCTACCCCCCATACTCAGAAACATCTCGAGAAAAGGTTTTTTCTGTTCTTTTTCCTTTTCCATGATTGGATGAAATAAAAGTCGATGGCGAATCTTGCTTACCGCGGCATTTTGCAAACAAAAAATGCAAAACGCAAACCAGTATTAAACAATCGGTTCTGCCACCGTATCACACAGTCATTAAGCATAGGAAATTTTAGTGGTCTCCCTCCTGTCTAAAAGATTAAATGTCCCATTCGAATGTTGCCTCGAAAATGTTGCCTCGAAAACGTTGCCTCGAAAAGATCTTAAGACTCTAGGGTTACTACTAAAGTTTTCTAACTATTCACTACAAGAAAATTGGCAGATTGCGACAGGTATTTTTGTAGATTACGACGGTTAAAACCGTCGCAATTTGCTTTCCACGACGGTTGCTTTACCGTCGCAGAAGTGTGTGTCCCCAACCTATTTCGCGACGGTTACAAAAACTGTCGTTCAAGTTTACGACGGGTTGATACCGTCGTGACTATCTTTTGAGTTTCTTTTAATTATTGATGGCGACGGTTCGATACTGTCGTGAATATCTTTTGAAATTGATTAAATTGTTTTTGGCGACGGTTCGATACCGTCATGACTTTTGTTGATTACGACGGTTCGGTACTGTCGCCATGACTTTTGTTTATGTCTTGATTTTTTTTTTTTTCTATTATATATATTTTTTATTTAAATTATTATCTATGTAAAAAATTTTAAATATAGTTTTTTTTTGTGTTATTTTTTTCTTTAAATTATTTCTTCTTTAATATATTTATTTATAGTATTATTTTTTGTTTTATTTTCTATCACTTTGTAATATAGTAAAAATAATTTCAATAAAAAATATTTAACATCAAATAAGCATTATAATATCCAAAAAAATGTGTGTTCCATAATCATGTAAAATGCGAGTTCCATAATCATGTCAAGTAGTACAAAAAACCCAAAATATATCAATTCCTAATCTTATAATAATAAGTATCATTATGCCAAAAATACATGAGAAAGTTCACAATCTAATTATCTCGATCATAGCAAAGTCTAATTTGTCCCCCCTGAAGTTCCATTATCTCCAATACGGTGGCTAGACTCAGATGAACGTCTACCATCAGCGGGTGATTCCAATCCCTAAAAAAAGGTATTAAAATAATAATCTTTAAAATAATATTCATAAAATTTAACTTTAAATGCGTCAAATTAATATACCTGTCTTCCATTGGAATAGAGTTAGCAGTACCTCATGTAAAGGAAGGTTCAACCCAAGTTCAGACGAAGTTGATCGCAAATTGGCAAATCGTCGTAAATCCCTTTCGGCTATACATGGAAGGATATATCCATCTATTTCATGAACCAACAATCAGCATTTCAAACAACTTCCAAATTTTCATCCAAGAGGTAGCATATACCAATTCTTGACTAAGACTAATGACATGACTCGGAGCACAAATTCTTGAGTTACAAGAATAAGCATTTGAAATTAGATAAAGTACCTGTTCTCTCCGAAGGCCATTCGAAGTATACAGCGCATATATGATGGAGCTTAGTACGTTGAAATGGATACTGAGAATGAGCCCTACAGAAATTTTTGCAAATTCTTATTTTAAGTGCGTATCTAATTAGTAACCAGATTCAGAACTATAGCAGATAAAATTTACCATTAACATATAGCTTTCGTAGGTTCTGATTAGTATATTCTAAATTCCAATCAATATTGAGTATAGTAAAGGAACTGGAAGTAATGAATTAAATAACATACTTGAGCACAAAGTCTGAATCAGCTGAGTGGCATTTTGGCTTCAAATAAGCATCAATCACTTGTAAAATGGTATCGTCCTTTCCTATATTATGCATTAGTATTTGTTCAACCCCTTCCATACAATACTCACCTTTTCCATACACCAAACAACCCCTTCCATAACCTCCCTCCGAGAATGCTACTGCTCACACACAACCATTACCTTCCAACATCAACACTAATTTCACAGCATTCAGAAACAAAAATATTGAATCATAACAACAGATCAACTGAATCAAAGAAGAAGAAAAAACACCTTATCACAAGCTTAGATCCACCACAGTTTCATGTTTCCTTTAGCTTCCCCACCATCTGTTGGAAACAGAGACATAATGGTTCAATTATCTAGAAATAATAGTAATAATGTGGATAGTACTTCATCTCCTGATAAATCAAATCAAGTTGCAACTGTTGCTTCTGAAACTGGGCCGGCATCCTCAACGATTGTTCACTTCTATTCTTCTGATCCAGTATTGGTTCCATCTGATAACTCATGGCTTCCTGGTGTTGTTGGTGCCATTAGACGCGAAGTGGAAAACTAACACTCTCATGGAGAATCAAATGCTGTTAACTCAGCCAAGAACAAATTAACTGCTTTTTCTGAGACTAGTAGCTCTTCTATGAAATAAAAGATTCAAGGTAAATCCCCAAGAGTGGAAAAAAATCATGGCAATGAGATACCATCCCCATCATCATCGGTAACTCTCGGAAGCCCTTCAGTTAGTCTTCCATCCTCTAATTACAATAACTGGTCTCAACAATTAAATGGCCCTCGAAAAGCTCTTTTTAATAAGGAATGGAAACCAAAGCCCACAAATACATATAATCAGAATTCTAGACCTGCTACATCCACCTTCACAAACTGTGACCTGCAAAAGCTTTGCCCGTAATCACCTACAACTATCAATATCACGGAATCAACAAATTCGTCCCATTAACAACACATTCAGGATCGCAGAAAAGATGGAGTAGAAGAGGAAAGATGCATAAATTAGAGAACATCATACCTAAAGCCGATCTCGTGCCAAATAGAAAACCGGAAAAAGCCTCCTCTTCGTCGGCTTCGGTTCCATTGCATATCTTGGTCGTAAAAACCAATTTGAAGGGTTTGGAGTTCGAATCGTGGACTCCTTGATGATAGTCACTGCCGAGAAGCAAAGAGAGAGCAATCTGAAGATCATGGGTTACTCGGTTACTGATTTTCACCAGAACAAGAACTCAATACCCTTGAATTTTGAATTGACAAGAAACAACGAAAGATCGTCTAAGAAAGCATTGTGACTCTTATGTTAAAACATCAATCAGAAATTTACCAATGAATCCCGTCCCAATCCAAGTTTATTTTCAATCTCTGCCATCTCATAACATACAACATATCCACCATCTCCTAACTCATTAATAAAAAAAAATTCTTGTAAGTCATATGAAAGTACAAAAAAATCCTTAGAACTTATACGAAAAATACAATTAGCACAAAAATATATTCAACAATAATATTTAAAAACGAAACCAAATGATATACTCACCAAGGCAGATTTCCCTGTACACTGTCCTTGCACCAAAGAGAAATATATCTGAATCTGAACTGAAACATCCATCCTATAATTCTCAACAATGAATGACAACAATCATGACATTAGCAAACAGCAATAGTACTAGTATCCCAAAAATAACTGATAATTACAAAGTAGACAAGTGCTTACGCATAATGATTCAGAGTTCAACAAAGCACACTGTGCTTCAGCTTCTTCAATCCTGCATTTTCGAAAAAGAGCAAGATGCTATCAGTTCAAATTGGTTCATTAGCATCCATCAATGCAACTTGTTCAATCAACTTTCAAGAGGAATAAAAATTCGATAATATCATTTCTAAATAATATATGTTTAGTACCCTACATACAAATTTTAATTTTTTATTAGTCCATAAATAAATTTGAACATCAACAATTCCGGCAAAATATGATAGCATTCTTTAAAGCAAAACACCATCAAACTGTAACTTCTATTAAATATTACCCATTCAAACAAGAGACACCGAATTGGAGCATAATTCAGATCTATCAACAATAATCAAAAGGTAAGTCCATCTCAATTTTTATATGAAACCTATAAACTCGTTCAGTTCAAGTTAATCCAAATTGGAGCATAATTCAAATATGCACTGCTATTGCATTCTATTGACAACATAACTAAGTCCATCTCAAGTTTTATATTAAACCTATAAATTCATTCCAAGTTAGTCCAAATTGGAGCATAGTTCAAATCTGCACTATAGACAACATAACTAAACACATCTCAATTTTGGAATGAAACCTATGGATTCGTTCAATTCAAGTTAGTTCAAATAGGAGCATAATTGGAATATGTAATACCTGTCACGTTCAGAGGGATTGGAGAGACACTGAACAAAATTGATGCTGGCAGCAAGAGCAGCGATGCGGACATCTGATGACGATGTAGCAGCACTAAGGCTGCGGAGGAAAACAGAGTGAAGAGTAGATAATTGAGGAATTAGGGTTTCACCTATGTAATGAGCCAATTGAGCAAACACAAGTAGCGAAATCTCCTGAAGCCTAGCGTCAGGTGAAGTAAACAACTGGAAGAGAAGCGGGAGTAGGTCAGGCCACGAAGCAAGGTCTTCGGAGAGAAGTGCAGAAGCAAGTTCAGAAACCGTGTCGCATAGCTTCTTAGCAATGGATTTGACAGGCTCTTGATGGAGAGAGGAGAGGAGGAGGGAACGGAGAGTGGATTGAGTGGAGGCGGTTAGGTGTGGGTAGATGAAGGAGTCGTCGTGGTGGCGCGTGAGGTGGCGGCGGAGGAGGATTATGGACATGGTGCGGGTTTCAGGGTTCGGGGAAGTGTGGAGAAGTTGGGCGAGTTTGAGGATTAGGGAATCGGGGTAGGTTTGTTTGCATAGGTTGAAGATATTTTCGGCTTGGGAGCGAAGGTCGTTGGAGGAGGACATGAGGTTTGTGATTAGGGATTCTAAGATATTTTATGAGTAAGTTTAACTTTAAAGCAAATGCTAAATCCGCTTTAACGGTTTTTAGCTCACGAAGAAGTAATTTTGCTTTTGCTGCTGTTGCCAATGCCACCTGAAATCAAAACAAAAGAAAATGTAGCTTGTTTGGTTACATAAGAATTTAACAGAACTTGGATAGTAGAATATGTATGTTCCATATGTGAACTAAATTTAAATTCATCACATGAGAGGGACTAAGAACATATTCTACTAAGTTAAAATGTATTAACAATTCCAAAATCATTATAAGATGTTCTATCATCTATGCCTACACTATAACAACTAACGAGACTGCAACCATTATACATGATTACACAGTGGTTAGGGTGGCTCACGGTGGTAATAAACTTTATTTAGTGATATTTATAATGTTTACGGAGTAGAAAGTGAATTGATGTTTTATGTATTTTAAGAGCTTTTTAACTTTTTTACGGCGACGGGTGTTTTACCGTCGTGCCCATGAGAATTTTTAAAGGTTTTGGGTGCGACGGTTGTTTTACCGTCGTGAAATGAATTTTAGGACGGATAATTTTACCGTCGTGAAAGGTTTAAGGGTGCGACGGGTGCTTTACCGTCGTGATATGCCTTTTAGGACGGTTAATTTTACCGTCGTGACTAGTTGTTGGTGAAAAATCAATGTTAAAAGTGTTAAATGGGGGCCGACGGTTGTTTTACCGTCGTAATAATAATATTATGATGGTTAAATATACCGTCGCAAAATAAATATTAGGGACGGTTGGTGTCAACTGTCGTAAACACTGTCTCTATATGTCAATTACGACAGTTATCACATAACTGTCGCAATTTTTGTGTCGTTAAACACTAATTTTCTTGTAGTGATTGCTTTAGTGATTGTATTCGTCCCTTTCGAACGTCCCTTATAACTCTAACGACGGTGCTACCTACTCCTTAATAGTGGGATAGAGCTGTCTAAAAGAAATAGAACGAACAATCCTTTTTTCGAGAAGGTAGAATCTTAAGTACTTGCTATATAAAAAACTTTTCACACAAACACCTTTCAAAATAGTTTTCAAAAACAACTTCGTTACATCCTTGAGGAATGATACAAGGGTTATCACGAAGTAAAACATTTTCAAAGCAAGCACACACACAAGTAATTTTAAAAAGATGAGCAAGTAACTAAGAGCCTGTGGAAAACCACTGATAGAAAGGGTGCTAACACCTTCCCTTTCTATAATCTACCCCCCATACTCAGAAACATCTCGAGAAAAGGTTTTTTCTGTTCTTTTTCCTTTTCCATGATTGGATGAAATAAAAGTCGATGGCGACTCTTGCTTATCGCGACATTTTGCAAGCAAAAAAACACAAAACGCAAACTAGTATTAAACAGTCGGTTCTGCCACCATATCACAGAACTGGCGACTCTACTGGGGATAAAATATAAAGTGGGGTAAACCTTAGGATCTAGGTCATATTTAATTGCTTTCTCTTGATTGTCTTGCTTGCTTTATATTTATGGGAATTGTTTGGGTTATTTAATCCTACACCCGGATCGGGGAAACACCTTTTAGGTAAGTAGCAACAAACTGTGAGGGAACTATGCTGGGGTATACCGGCACGGTTGAAATAGTAGCTATGTTGATATAGCATTTTGGTTGGTACCGGTAACCCTTGAGTCAATCAGGGAGAGTACGGGGCCGCCGCGTGGTTTCGTGAAGCATCAACCGATCTTAGAACCTTTAATTTCACAACTTGGCCATTAGAAAGTAGTGAGATAGCCGGCCTCGGTGTAGAGCTGAGAACTGGTTGATACTCGATGCTACACTCATTGAGATCAGACTTTCAGGATATTTCAGCCACAAGAAAAGATTGCGTGAGCTGAGACAATGCCGATAAAGGATGGTCAGTGATATTGAGATCCTATAGAACGCGGTTACTATTTATAGGACAGGTTGAACCAATCCAACTTCAAGAGGGTATGACCTTAAAACTCATGCAAGCCTTAAACCTAAGGACTTTGTGTGATTTCACTGTGCTTGTTATACCTGTGTTTGCTATACTTGTGTTTGCTATACCTGTGTTTTATCATGACATCATGCATCATAACATAGCATCCATTCTTATTGCACTAACCATTTCAAAGAACAAGGGAATTTATCTTTTCCATGTTTTGCAGATCATGGCTTCTTGTAAAACCCTAATTTAGCAACTTTTGAGTTTTGATGAATTGTGAGAAATCCTTGATGAATCATGATCAACCCTTGATCAAATGATGAATAATACTTAAAAATGAGGATGTTGACCAAAAATATTGAAGTTTGACTGTATGTGGGCTACAGTTGACTTTTTCCCTAGCACAGTCGATTTTCAGGCCTTTGAGCAATTGACTGAGCAAACTTCCTCTGCGAGGCTTGAAATTTGACATGGATGACCTTGAGAACATATTAGGACAATGGTGAGCATTTGGGATCCCTTGGAATCAAGTATCTTGATGCAACATGAAACCCTAATTTGAGGTAGACTGCCTTAGGAGAGAGCTTGTCTAGTTAACCCTTGGAC